ACTAGTGACTGGCTTCAAGAGGTATACCCTGGAGTTTTAGTGAGAAGCAGTGACCAGTGGAGTTCGACCGGATCTGTTGTGAGTTAGTAACTCACTGAAGACAATGGTGGATGTGTCGCTCAATTTCCTGAATTAGTTGAAGTTAGAGTTTAAGCATTCGCGCGTGAGACCGATAGGTCCTGGGTCCTGGGGCGAGGTCGTGGATGCGCACTGCTGAGGAGTCCCATAATAGGATGAGACGGCCGTCCAGTGTCTCCAGGTTTTCCATAGTGGTCTAGCTTCAAGTGACTCGTGATAATATCCATAGAAACCCGTTCTGATATAAAACAATTTATCATATATAACTTAAATCAGATGATCTGGATAAGACTGGTGTCCCCTGAATACTTCGCGTAATTTCAAGCAAATTTTTCGCACGAATTGACATCACTTATCTGAAACGTTTTCAATGTTTTATTCGCAAAACCAGTTATATTTCCATTCATTTAGTGATTCAGTACTATATATTATTGAAGTGTGATTTTAATTAGGTTTAATTGTAAGTGTCTCAAAGTTATTTGCAACTGACTGATATGAACATGTCAATTTAGCGCATTATCACGAGGTTAATGAAAAATGTAAATAAAGTGAAAATTAGAGCTTGGTATAAAATCATTACTTGAAAAAGAAAAATCTGTTAAGCAGCAATTATCTAGAAAATGAACAAAAAGATGACAGAAAGTGTGGGAGTAATACAATGAATATTAAAAGTATTGAATATAACCTCAACCAAAATGATTTTTGAAAGCATCCAATCACTAATATATACATTAATTTTATTCTTAACTCTTGTCATAATTAAGTGAAGCATGATAAATGTCCAGAAACGAGTACAGTACATTTTAGTCAACTTTATATTAATTCCTTTTAACATTTGTATGGAAAAAAGTCCTTTTTAATTCGCATCTATCAATATTATACCAAAATCCGTGTGATCCATTTGCAATAATGATTTACGGGAGAAAAACAAATTAAACTGATTAAAATAGACTATAGTAATGATATAAAACAGCAAAGTTATTCAAAACACAAAAGGGCTCTTTATCACGTGAACCACGGTAGTACTGGATTGTTATTTCCTGTCTCTCTTTAATACGAACGTCAAAACAGTCCTACTGCACAGAGCTGAAACGTAGAGAACCACTACAACCATCATCACGAGGTAAGCGCTAACTTGGAAACGAAAAAGGGGGAGGCCGAAGAACACGCTGGGTCGGGAATCGGAAGCAGACATGAAATGGATGAATAGCAATTGGAAATGATTGCCTAGGACAGGGTCGGGTGGAGAGTAATGGTGGGCTGCCTATGTTCCTCGATGAGGTGTAACAGAAGTGATGTGTAATTATAAGTTACCTCACTAGAATGGTCGATCAATATAAGATAATATTGTATGTATGAATACGATGGAATTACCGATAATTTTAGTTGTTAATCTATGTATTATTACTGTCATTATCGCTGCTTATTCTATCACTTTACTTCACAAATAATTATTATAATATTTCACTATAGATAAATCGAAAGTTGCTTACTTATCAACAGATGAGATATATTTTAACAAAATAATTGCCAAGAAAATGGGACACATGCATCACTTAAGTTTATCGTTTCTATTATTATTACGAGACTGTACTAAGAAATTCATGAGCCGTTCTTCTGGTAAGTACACTTACGCACCTATTAATAACGGGAAGATTGTTATACTATGAATACATATAGAGTCAGATTTAACTGATGTTAAGTCTGAAATATCTTAACTTTATCGCTGGTAACTAACCCGCAGATTTTGTATCACGCTTAAATGACTTTTCTTGATCTGTTGTTCCGTCTTTTGATGACAATTTATTTCGGGACATTGAGCCAATAATTATGGTTATGTGATTAATAGTTAATTGCTCATATTATTCACAGTAATCCAGAGAACTTGTCGACTTAACACTGAATGACCTCAAAATCTTTGAAAATTCGTAATCAGTTAAATTGGAATAAAATTGATTGATCATATTAAATAAAATCGTCCATCACAAGGTTTCCAAGTTCATTGACTTTTTGGATAAGTTTTCCTCACCAGTCCAGCATACTGTTGAGTTGACTTTTCTTTTTTCTTCTTTCTAAATTAGCTACTTAATAAGTAAACAATAGTAATCTAAATCTTTGTAAATTTACAATCTAAACGTACTCATTATGGCTTGTTTCGTAAATTACAAGAGGATCAGGAGGTTAAACGTTTAAGGTATCTCTACTATTGTTAAATAGACCTAACTGATATCTCTGATCCCATTAACTAACTTATTGAAAGGAAAACAAATCCTTCGAACAGTACTTATGAAAGATTTTAATCAACCTGTTGCTTTTTAGAATTTATCAATAAAATATTTTGCAGACAAATGCTTATTATTTACATAAAATGAAATACCTTAAATTAGCACTTTTCCGCCAGATAAAATTGAAGTAAAAATAACGCCCTTTAAGATAACGAATACTTCAGATACTTTTCCTAATGGGAAATCTATTGTAATTCTAGACATTGTATAGGTTTTAGAAAAATCGGGTTTAGAAACTTGATAATGGTCACTACATATAATGATCACTATTTACGATACTTTCAAGTTTGAGTTGGTTAGATAGCACAAAAAGTAGTGAGTACCCATGAAAACGATTGTTAAAGCCTATAATAATACCTCACAGAAAGTGAAGACCTGAATAATCAATTTCAATTAATCAGTCCCAAAGTAAAACCTAGTATGTACATCGGCTCAAGCCTCCACACCTCATTAGCAAAGGGAGATGAAATTATTAAGCCAAATCCCGTAGTAGAAGTAGTAACAGCATTAGTGGGAATAGAAAGGATTAAGCATCCAAGAATCCACCCTGACTCTGGAAGAAGACATAGAATGTATACACCCAGGCCACTGCAAACGATTTTAGGCCGTTTCATTCAACGTCGCTGACCACACACTCATATAGTAGGACGGAGCAAACTGCATCACAGTAAACTTGTTCGTTGATCAAGAGACAGACATCTCGTCCACTGCATAAATGACGTACGTCAGCGAAAGTCAACCTAGATTTCCGAATGAGATTGTCCTAGGCCCCCAAATGCCCTGGTATGACCGAGAGTTTGGAGAGCCAGCTCTCCCTCCTGAAGTGCTCTCACATGACCACGCGTATATAACCTCTGCCAGGGAAGTCCTACTCACTGCCTTCTCGTGACGGGGGTGTTGTTTACGAAATTGAGAGGACGAAAAGCGAATGTCCGGCACTTTAACCGGGTTGGTGGACACGGAGAGTCCACCCAGGGGATTTGGAAAACCCCGATTCCAAACCAGTGGTGCACATGGGTTCCAGGATCTCAAAGAAGCAAATGGTATATGAACCGATTGTTAGTCACCGGTTACCATGGAACTGAATCTTCTTACGCTGCCCCACTGCCTTGTGGATCAGACCTTTAGGTCAAAGGCTCCAGGTGTAGCCCTAAGAAAACCGCCTGCTTCGGTATGGGCACCCGGACAGTATCCCAGCCCTCACACAAATCGAATGACTTTTGTGGCGCTTATCTATTTGGTGCCTCCTTGTACCAATGTTCATGTGTTGAAATTTATTTATTATTTATTTTAACACATAGATATTGGTACAAGGAGGCACTAAATACATATGCGCCACACAAATCTCAATTGATATGTGTTGAAATAAAGACACCAAACCCATCATGGCCGATGAGGCTTTCAGGATAAGTGAAGTGATTGACACTTCCAATGATTAGTCCAGGCATGGACTAAGACCAATCCTGTGGCAAAATTTTATATTTTGGGTGGAGAGAAACGCATTCCAAACATGCTAGCATTCTTGCTTGAAATGATAAGAAAAGCCTATATATTATCAAGGTCTTTACCAAACAAGATTATATAATCTGGGTATCATAAGTTAGCAAGTGAATCTCCAGGTAGAAGATCAACCACTGGAAAGTCAATTAAGTAATGCCCAGACTAATCAAGTAATTATGACCTCTACCTAGAGTACATAAAACAAAGAAAAATGATACTTAAACAACTACAATTTGGTGAATTCCTTTGTATATTTTTAGTGAGTAGTGACTAAGTAGTTGCTTTATGTTATTTTCAAATCCTCCCAATTGTAAGCTATTAACTTGTTTATAAAGTGTTGCTATATTTTTTATCTTTCGAAAATTAGAGTCGATTGAATATTCGACATAAAGCTCAGCATCAAAGACGTCCTAGTGATGAAATTATCAAAGTTAATAAAACGTGATTCTCTTTTAGTTTTACATTTTACTTATTATTCTAGTCTCAGTACTAGGAAATAATCATAAATACCAAAGTCCTTATTAACGTACTTCAAGAAACATATTTAATTATGAACACATTCTTAAACGATCAGGAAATTTTTTTCCTTTTTTCGATAGCTACAGTAGTTAATACTAAACGTTTAAGTGCCTTTTTAGCATGTAAGCTGGTATTTTTGTAACTATCATACTATAATCACATCCAGATACAAAGGGGCACCAGACACATGCATAAACAACACCCCCATCACGAGAAGGTAGAAGTAGAACTTCCGTGGCAGATGCTATATACCCATGTGAGAGCATTTCGAGAGGGAGCGGACTCTCCCCATTCACTTGTGAAACGGGAACGAACTTCAAATTAATTTGCAATAGTTTGGATGGAAATTGATACGTACATCCAAATAGTGATTCGCGAATACAACAAAATGCACCCCATAGATTAAATTGTTATCCACGTATATTCATTCTACATAAGATTGTGTCATAATGGCCGAATCGACGGCATCTACGAAGGACACATAAACTCCAGCAAAGACTGGCAAAATCTCTTAAATCTTAGCTCGAAGGTGAGATGGGAGCGGAAACTCATACAAACCCTTCCCATTAAATCTTCCAGGATAGAATAGGGTAAACTAGAAAGTAAGAACGACTTGAAAAAAAGTGGATTTACTTTATTCAACCAAGTTATCACTATTAGGTTAATTATAACACAAATTTGAAAATTAGAAACAGTGCATGAACAATAATGTCGCAGTACAACCACATAAAATTCTAAAACGGAGCATGGCAATAGAAACAATGATGAAACTTGAAATAAAAGATGCTTAACATACAGAAAACTCTCGAATCAGTGTTATATTAAAAGTTGAGTAGACTTAATACAAAACAGCTCGTCTTGGTGGCATTGGTAATCTTTGATGATAGTTTGTTACAGGCATGGGAAAATGTTCAGTCTTCTTATCCGAAAATGAGTTGGAGCTAAAATTGCCAGGCGATTTATTTACAAAAGAAAATGCATTATATGCGTTTTCTTGAGGATTGTGGGAAATAGACTCGAAAACAAACTCTTTTTTATTCCATTGTTTTTCAAACTCATATGGAGTCAGATTCATTTCCCTTAAACTTCTACTTGTAGAAACGATCCTAAAAATGGCTATTAATAGTGTAACACAGCCAGCAAACACAATAGGGACAGCTGAATATGATATGGACAAATGAGCATACAGTCCATCACTAAGCTGAGTAATACAAACCCCTGAAACAATAAGAACAAAACCCAAAAGGATAGTACAAAGGCTTATGACAAAAAGAACTTTCTCAGGAGCACAGACGCTGAAGTAATCGGTTAAACAGGTTCCAGAACTTCCCATAATAGAGACATCATAGTGAGATGGTTTCAGATCTAGATTAGTAAAAGCAGTAGAGTTACGTGATGTGAATGCAAGAAAACGCTAGTGAACAAAAGTACAAAAATACACAGACCATAAATGTATGCACATGACGATGGAGATTAATAATAGTGTCAGGTTCGCTAAACACTAACTACTTTCTGAAATAATTCTTTTGAGACTTTGAAGCAAACGCTTGAATGTAAAGCTTAGCTTTAAAAAATACGGGATATATGTGTTGCTTGAATAAATTATTTTTCTTGCCTGATAAAGAATGATACTGCTAGGTACTTTGTAAAAAAAACACAGCACTATGAGTGTTAACACACTTTCTAACGTGATAAGGGTATGTTTGAACATCAGTTGGCCCGCAGAGTTGAGTGGGATATGGTTTGTTGTCTATAGAATGAAAACACCAGTTACTAGGCTTTTAATGTTGACAGCCGGTTGAGATGCTTTTGTGTCCATCTAGACATTTAAAATAAAATAATATGCAGTGTTAACACATTATATTCGAGATAAAGTTAGTTTAGTCAATGGTTCCATAAGACAGGCCAAAAGCTTGTCGATTCATTGTAGTTTCTTAAGATGGTCCGATGTACATATACTTATGACTACTGATCTACGAAATGTTATGTAGTCTGAATGCCAAAGAATCAACTAGTATAAAACCACTAACGTACCACATTTCTCAACCACCTACAGAAACAATAACATGATGAAGAAACTGAGAAACGCTAAGGACTACCTCGATTTTTTCAAGCCGACTTTTATGCAATAAAGACACAGAATTTGTTGCAAAACAACTAACTAATGAGTCAAAAATTTCCGATTTTACGTATATTTGCTGCACATGTTCACTGAGGATATCAGCCTGTCCCAAAGCTCATCAAATTTACAAACGTATTAGTAAATCGTTTCGTGCTACTTTTATGGCTTTTTTCGCAAATGGCTGAAAAGTTGGTGAAATCTTACCAACATTATTAATGACAACCTCAGACAATGTTCCGAAAAAACCTGAAATTTTATAAGTCATCGGGGTATAATCAGCTCGAGTTGACAACACAAAATATGATAACCATCCTTTAGTGTCTAAAACAATCAAGCGAGTACTTTAAGTTCCTTTGGGTACATATAAACATGGCGATCTGAAGAACGAAACAGAAGAACAAGCCAATGAATATTATTAACAATGACAAACAAGACTTAATGCATTCAACCTGACATTTACATCGAAAGATGAAGCTAAATAAGAAACAAGACCATGAATAGACAGCCAAACACGCCCCTAAGACCTTGAATGGCTTTATCCAAGTCGGACGTTACGTCCTTGATGTGCTCGAGGTTAGCTAGACGTATGTTAGCTTGCATGAGTCATCATTTTTCGCACAACTGAGTAGTCTGTTGACATCCAAGAGCCCAGTTAAGTTGTATAAAATCATTTTCAGTGTGCTATCTTTCTGTTTTAGTGTTAAGAGTAGTTTTCCATTCGAAACCTGCAGCTCTACCCGCTTCAGTGAAGATCGTGTAGCGGTAAATAATTCCCCAAAATTCAATGGCTCTGTAAGCTTTCGACATTGGATGCTGACCACAGTTTTAGTGGACTCATCTAGCTGAAGGCGCTCGGTCAAGCATCCGCACCAGATCACGTGTGGGAACGCCGTGCTCAACATCTACCGCAATCGCTAGTCAGATTAGTGCATACGATCCTCGATATATTGATAGCTTATCAACCATATTTTCGATCTCCTCACTTCTGTCTTTTGATTTTACTTGGTGGGTGCGCTCCATATCAGAAAGTGTTACTGGTTAAAGCGTTGTCAAACTCCGAATACCCGGCATCTTCATTGGTGAGCCCGACGTGATTTGGTACACCAAATTGCAAACTGTGAGTCTGTTCCTTTTTGTGATTTTATATATCATTGTCTTATTTTACTCTTTTTTTATACATCGTGATATTTTTCCCGTGTTTTTGGGTATATATATATATATTTCCCACTCGTTCATTTTCGTACTTGATATATTACTATGACTAAACAGACACCTAAAGTATTTAAGTTAAAGACTGTGTCCCCACCCTCTTTCCAACTTATGCCTTTATGGCCAGACAACATCGAAGCCTGATTTTGTTATGCAGAAGCCGACTTCTACGAGCACGGTGTGAACGATACACGTGCACAATTCCTCGCAGTAGTCAAGGCACTACCGCGCGAATTCAACAAGTACGTAACACCTAGTATGCTTACTAGTGATGTTTCTGACCCATACCAAACGTTAAAACAGGCCATCTTCAAACGCGGAGATCTAACCGATCGACAAAGGTTAGACCAACTCCTTAACAACATCGACCTGCAACACGGCTCTGCCACAGACATGTTTCAAAGAATGAGAGAAGTCGTTGGCCAAAGAACCTTCGATGATGGCCTATTCAAACAGCTTTTCTTATCAAAACTTCCTCAACAGGTGCAAGCTGTGCTGGTCTCGTTCCAAAACAACGCCGTAGACGAGCTGGCTGCATCTGCCGACCGCATCCTCGAAATCACTAGATCTTCTAACGCCGAGGTTTATTCAGTCAAAGAAAAGCCTCAAACCACCCAGAATGACATAACAGAATTATGTCATACACTTACTCGTTATCTCAAACTCCGTAACAACCGTAAACGGTCACCCACCCCGCGAAGAAGCCCATTACGTAGGCAGTCGGTATCTAGACCTCGAGAGACGGATAATCCTGACTGGTGTTGTACCATAACCAGTATGGAAAGTCTGCCAGAAATTGCAGAAAACCCTGCAATTTTCCCAACGCAAAATCGGTCGACGCGAAGAACGTTTCGGGAAACTTCCAAGCCGTCACGCTTTAACGGCAACTGTAGCCCGCGAACATAGCCGTCTTTTACATGTCACTGTTGTGATAACGAAACTCCGCCTGGAGCCCCTTTTCCGGGGGCTACTGCCGGTCTCAAGCCCGGATAAAGGAGGAGGGTTGAGCATGGGGTTAGCGACCCCATCCCGTAGAAAACTAACTCGCTAAAAAAACGCTAACCAGAAAGAATTATTCAAATCATTTAAACACTGCCCTGGGAGTCAGGAGGTCTTCGTTTAGAAGAATTATGACGCCTCATGATGAAAGCCGAGTTTCTTCGGAAGTCACGAGGCCGATGCCCCTTCTGACAACCAGAGCAACCATTTATTTGGGTACATGGAATGCTCACACAATGTGGGAGACTGGGAGAGTTTTCCAAATTGCTGCAGAAATGAGGAGATACAATTAAGAGGTGCTTGGGATCAGTGAAACACATTGGACGCAAGTTGGACAACAACCACTAGCTTCAGGGGAGCTGCTGTTATACTCCGGACATGAAAAAGAAAGTGCTCCACATACACAAGGAGTTGCATTGATGCTGTCCAAACAAGCACAAAATGCACTTATAGGATGGGAATCTCATGGACCAAGGATCATCAAAGCCTCCTTCAAAACAAAGAAAATGGGGATTACAATGAACGTCATCCAATGCTACGCGCCCACCAATGACTACAATGAAGACGCTAAAGATCAATTCTACGATAGGCTGCAGTCAATCGTCGAGAAGTGCCCAACAAAAGACCTGACTATTCTGATGGGAGACCTAAATGCCAAGGTTGGAATTGACAACACCGGATATGAAGAGATCATGGGACGACACGGACTCGGAGAAAGGAACGAAAATGGTGAGAGATTTGCAAATCTATGTGCCTTCAATAAACTGGTCATAGGCGGGACTATATTCCCACATAAACGCATACACAAAACCACATGAACTTCACCGGATCACAGCACACAGAACCAAATCGACCATATCTGCATCAACAAAAAGTTCAGGAGGACGATGGAGGACGTGAGAACAAAGAGAGGAGCTGATATAGCATCAGATCATCACTTGCTGGTCGCCAAGATGAAATTGAAACTCAAGAGGCACTGGACAACGGGGCGGACAATATCACAAAAATTTAATACGGCTCTTCTTCGGGATAATGACAAACTCAATAAATTCAAGATAACCCTCAGCAATAAGTTCCAAGCCTTTCGTGATCTACTCAATGGAGAAGGAACTACTATGGAGAGCAACTGGAAAGAGATAAAAGAGGCAATCACTTCAACATGTCATGAGGTTCTGGGCCAAAAGAAGCACCATCACAAGGATTGGATCACGGTCGATACACTAGATAAGATTCAAGAAAGGAGGAACAAGAAAGCATACGCAACAACAAATGCAGGAGAAGACAACCAGTGTAGCTGCAGCCTCAGCAGCAATAGGTCTCAATATACACAAAGCGAAAAGCAAGGTTCTTCGATACAACACAGCATGCACCAATCCATTCACAATTGACGGAGCTTTGGAAGATGTAAAAACCTTTACATATTTGGGCAGTATCATCGATGAACACGGTGGGTCCGATGCAGATGTGAAGGCACAGATTGGCAAAGCAAGAGCAGCATATTTACAACTGAAGAATATCTCGAACTCAAAACAATTGGCAACCAACACCAAAGTCAGAATTTTCAATACAAATGTCAAGACAGTTCTACTGTATGGGGCCGAAACCTGGAAAATCACGAAAGCCATCATCCAGAAGATACAGGTGTTTATTAACAGTTGTCTACGCAAAATACTTCAGATCCGCTGGCCGGACACTATAAGCAACAACCTACTGTGGGAGAGAACGAATCAGATCCCAGTGGAGGAAGAAATCAGGAAGAAGCGCTGGAAGTGAATAGGACACACATTGAGGAAAGCACCGAACTGCGTCACAAGACAAGCCCTCATATGGAATCCTCAAGGTCGAAGGAGGAGAGGAAGACCAAAGAATACATTACGCCGAGAAATGGAGATAGATATGAGAAAAATGAACAAGAATTGGATGGAACAAGAAAGGAAGGCCGAGGACAGAGTGGGTTGGAGAATGCTGGTCGGTGGCCTATGCTCCATTGGGAGTAACAGGCGTTAGTAGGTATGTTGTGATAACGAGAGTTCGCTACCTCGTCGATACTGGCGCAGAACTTAGCGTTCTCCCAGCGAATTCCAACGACCGGCTTCACGAATCGGTTTTAAATCTACAGGCGGCAAACAGAAAGCCTATCGCTACGTATGGCAAAAGGTAAGTTTATCTTAACGTAGGTTTACTCAAACTCATTCAATGGATCTTTCTTGTTGCGGATGTTTCTATGCCAATCATTGGTATGGACCTTCTACAACACCACAACTTAATTATCAATACGCGCAAACGGAGGCTAGTAGATGGAAACACTAATTTATCTGTTCGCCTGACTTCTTTTTCTGGTTGCAGGTTATCCCCAGTCACTATTAAGCACACTATAGACCCCTTCTACCAACCACTATTCGATAAGTATCCTGGCATTTACCAATCGCAACCGAAATTGCCGTGTGTAACCAGCAACGTTACACATCACATCACGACTACAGGACCACCTGTCTTCTCGAAAGCACGCCGACTGGCCCCCAAGAAGTTAAGATTGGCGAAAAACGAATTCGACCATATGATAGACTTAGGGATCATACGACCGTCAAATAGCCCATGAGCATCTCCGTTGCACATGATTTCTAAAAAGAACAGCAACGATTGGCGTCCAACTGGAGACTATCGTCGATTGAATGCAAAAACCATTCTCGATCGTTACCCGTTGCCCCACATTCACGATTTGACAGCTGCCTTGAAAGGTACAACTGTCTTTTCGAAAATCGACTTGGTTAAAGCATATAACCAAACTCCTATGGTCACTGAAGACATTCCAAAAACCGCTATTATAACGCCCTTTGGACTCTATGAATTTTTGCGAATGCCTTTCGGTCTGAGAAACGCGGCACTGACTTTTCAAAGGTTCATAGATGACGTTTTTCGAGGTCTCAACTTCGTACATGCGTATGTTGATGACTGCCTAATAGCGAATTCGGATAGAGAATCACATCTCCAGCATCTAGACCTTGTTTTCGACCGACTACAAAAACATGGCATTACTGTGAACATTTAGAAATGCCAAATCGGAACCGACTCCTTAGACTTCTTACGACACACTGTAGATGCGCAAGGTATCCAACCCCTTAGAACAAAAGTGGCAGCCATTCTGGATTACCCAGAGCCCACCACCATCAAGAAATCGCGCAAGTTTAACGGTCTGGTAAGTTTTTATAGACGATTCATACCGAAATGCGCGTTACTTATGAAACCCCTTATCGACCAACCTTGTGGAGATGCGAAATCCATTAATCTAGATTACACTACACGAAAAGCATTCTCCACGGCTAAGGAACATATCGCTCAAGCAACAAGCTTGCTCATCAGGACCCTGAAGCGCCCATTAGTATCTAAGTAGACGCATCCGACTCAGCAATCGGAGCAGTCTTACAACAATAGGTTAACCACTCCTGGCAACCTTTGGCGTTTTTCTCTAGACGGTTGCTAGACACTGAATCGAGGTACAGCACATTCTGTAGGGAACTCCTAGCTATGAATTGTGCTGTC